ACAGGGATGTCAACGAGAACGAGCTGACAGCGTAGGTCGATAGGAAGTAGCTTGCCAACAGCAAGCCCGTCACGTCATCTTGACCTCATACAGAAATAATCTCGATTTCGATGACACTTCGGTGGCGGCCACAGTTGACATTCAACCTAAATCTTCGGATACCAGAGAATCACGCATAGTCTACTCTGACCCTATTCCCTATCCTACAGATCCTAGTAACCTTACACATCATCAGAAATCGAATACCACCTGTTGAGAATAAAGATCGTGCTGGGCCCTTGAAAATAAATTTATGACAATTATATCAAAAATACGAAAAACCAATAGCATGCAAACTTACTCAAAGTTCACAATGTAACATAACACATAAAAGCAAACCTAAACTATAACTCACTTGAGGATTAATGAGGCGCACCTAGACAATTTGAATAGTGTTAATGCAAACTAAATGAAATCAAGGTGTACTGTATGTTTAGTGTTATGAGTGATAAGTAGAACCTAAGTCCGGTGTGGTATTCCAAGGCGAGCTTCACTGCTCCAACCTTGGGTCCAGTACGCTGTCAAATCTCCTCCGCTTAGCACTGCATAACTCCCTTTGTCCACAGTGAACCCAAAAAAACTAGTTAAACGCACTGCCGATCGCGTAATTTAAATACCGAAAACAAAATTCCAGATGCAAATTCCGTTGCATAAAACTCGGCCCGAGCACTACGCCGTTCAGCGGCTAGCCTAAGTATTTAGACAAAACGACCGCGCGTTCGCCGTGAGAGTTTTTTCCAGACTACCCTATTTTAGCCCGTTTTAGACTAAACACCACCAAAAGGTTGTTTTATAGTAAATTTTCTCTTACAACGTAAATTTTACTCCCCCCGAAGGGCACTCCAAGCTGAACGTAGATATTATAGCTATTCGAGGGATTGTTACCATGTACCTTGTTTTTTATGAGTCTCCGATATTGTGGCACTGTTGCAAGCGGCATGATCACGGAGTAACTGAAGTTAAGCGCCATGATCACGGAGTAACTGAAGTTAAGCGCCATGATCACGGAGTAACTGAAGTTAAGTGCCATGATCACGGAGTAACTTCAGTTGCAACTGTGCCGAAATATCGGAGACTCATAAAAAACAAGGTACATGGTAACAATCCCGTTAATAGCTATAATGTTAGTGACCATGAAAGTCTAAAACAATATATCGGAATGGAATATTTGATACTTCTCTTACGCATTTCTTTTCAATAACCATTTTCAATATGACACTAATTATTATGAAATGAATAATGTAAAAAGACATGTGGATCCTATACGTTTAGGATATTACGAAATTACCCTCGTATAATATGCAAAAGAAAATTTCACGTCGCAAAAATCGTGTCATAACTTTCGCTTTATGCCAAATATTTACGTTACCCAACGTTTGTTTTAAAGCGTAAAGGATATTGTCATTCGCAACAAAAGGTACACATGCGCACATGACCATCCTCATAAATAATTCAAGTGTACTTGTGAAAAAATTTGTACGCGCGCAATGCAATTATGTCAACGGTCTACTGAGGAATTTGTGCAAGTGTGTTATCAGACTATTACATATATATATATACATTTAAACGATACCAAAATATTGGTTCTCTACGCGGTCCCGTCATGCGGTGCTTGCTCCTACTTCAATAAGATCAAAAATATCTATTTTAAATGAAAACCCCGCGTGGTGGGTCATGGCCCAATCTCCCTAATCTATCCATAGGGAAGGCCTGTGCCCGAGCAGTGGGGACATTAATAGGCTGATGATGAATCTCTCACGGATATATTAACAATTAATGTATTACAAACGTAAAACTTTTTAAAGATAGTAAGCATAAGCCTTCATAAAAAAGTTTGAAGCGCAATATTTATGATTTTACTCACTGACGCAACTAGCTTTAAATAAAGGAATTGAGATTGAGAATCTTCCATTTGCCTCCTTCCTACAACAAAATTTGGGATCATTCAAAAGAAGCCGATGCAGCAGTTAACTGCCATACCAGCCATCCTCAACTAGCCTGCATGTATCTTCTTCAGGCCTCTTTTGAAAGATCCCAAGTTGTTGTCGGAAGAAGGAAAAACGCTCATCTAACAAATGAAAAAGAATTCCTTTGTTCCGCTCTCCATTCCTTAGTATTAAAGCTAGTCATTCTATTCGTGGCTTTGATTCTATTCGGTAACAAAAACAAATGTCGACAAATTTAAAAATATTCATCGATCGGAAATAGCTTGACGAATCTACGTAACGTCCAATCTTCGTAGCGAATCGATTTGGTTTGGAATTTTGTTATATTTTGACAATTTAAGGTGAGTGTTGAGGATTTAAGGTGGTATTACATTTTTTTATAGGTTTGTCTCTGTTAATGGGATCGCTTGACATCCAGCATTGACACCATTTGGAGAGCAAGACCAAACTGGCCTCTAACTGACTTCACGTCTAGAGGTGAAACCTACAAATATGTGAACACGAAAAACTCCTTCATCCGCCCGCAGCTTATTTGTTTCCAGCTATTTTTATTTTATTTCTTTTGTTATGTTTTTCTTATCTCAGGTTTTTTTCGAAATATTTATTTACAAAAAAATACTGTAAAACATTTGCAATCATTGGAAAGGTAAGGATTATTGATAAAATTCAAGTCTGTATTAAAAAACAACTAAGGCACCTACCAAACGTTTAATACTTAACTATTCAAGTATTGTAAAATATTGGGAGAAATTAAATATTCTAGACTTAAATTGTTTTGAAAAATAAATAATAGCTTAATAAAAGAAAAAAAAAAACAAAAAGACCCCAAGCCCGTTACCGGTCGGCTATCTGTCTCTTGCAGAGAATAATAAAATTACGGATATCTTGTGTCAAATACTGTAGCTTTTGCGTTTCATCGAGTGTCAAATCACAACTGTGCTAAAGAATTTTACACTTAAGAAAAAAGTTTTAAACCTCATACTATGAAAAGTGATTGAATGAATGATACAGAATCCTGTGGGAGATCTTATTTTTTTTTTAAATTGACACTGCCTCATTCAGAAATTTTGAAAATACCTACTCGAAAAAAATATGGCGGTACGAAGTGCGCTAGGTCAGGTAGTTTATAAATTTCTTATTTTAATATTTACAACGGATTCCCTCTATCTGGTAGAATATTGTTACTCTAGCTTAATTCATTTAGCATAAACACCTGTCATAATCTCCTTTTTTGAGGCATATTTTTTTGTTAATATAATTATTGTTTGGCCGAATGTTTATATGTTCAAATTCATAATGGCATACCTAATATTAAGATAACAGATTTTTATTAGGCAAAACTAGGTACCCTCGGGAAAAAAGATTAGTGAAAAAAGGTTAGGTTAGCGTGATGGTTCTGCTTTTTAATTATTGTGGATATTAAATTTACGACAATAGATGATTAAAGCTTACAAAATTATCCGTTTCAATATCTGATGTCTGCTAAATAAGAATTCCAAGTGATATTCTGCGAAATGTGGTTTATGGAATCCACTGATATGTAGATAACAATATGACATGAAAAGTTCTGCGATACAAGGTAGACCTGTTTACAACACTTTACCTCCGAAGTGCCTTCTAGTCATAAGCTGTTTGGTTCTAATGCTTGAAACCTCAAGTCTAGTAGGACAGGTATTTTTATCTGATGTAGTTTTTGGAGTTCCTCAGGTCCAAAAGGTGACACAAGATCTATGGAACTATGTAGTTGAAGAAAAAAAATAGTTATAGTAGGCCAATTACAGGTCTCCACGTTTAAAAACACAAATCTTTATACTATGACATTTAAAAATAATTAAAAATTAAAAAAACGTGTGGACAAAATAATAAATAGGATTGGTCTACATAATAAACACGATTCGCCCTGTTAACAATGTTAAACTATTAATAATTAACAATGTTAAATAATCAATATAAGAACATATATATTTAGCAAATTGATGTTATTATTTAGTTTTAGTTCGTAATTGTAAAAAAATTAAAGTAAATTGTTTGTACATACTATCACATCATCTGTTCAAAAAATTCACTGCATAGAAGACGCCGTGCAGTTGCTTCACTAGAATTGAATATATCAAAGTCTTTTCTAGACTTGCAAAATTCATTCAGTGCAATGCTTGCTCGCAATAAAAATGCATTTAGTCGATAATTTGTAGAAATATATAAAGGGAGTTTCCTAACTAGAAAGTATGTAGTTCTTTTTTCGGCGTTTTTCGCTCGACATGCGATTGCTGCGTATTTCAAAAATGATTTTACCTTGTGCTTTAATATGAAACCATATACATTTATTTCTCTGTACGAAACCCTCCTGCGTTAGTGCGGCTCAGAGATTTATTTACACATGCGACTACCTAATGCAAAAAGAAAACGGTACTCACACAATATGTACGGAAATTTCATGCATTTACTATCCAGATAAACAAGTTTGTCCAACATTGTTGAGATTTCTTTTCAATAAAAGATATTAACCCCTTAATAATTGGCGAAGTTCGTTGACCTCATTTGAACTTTTTGGAATATTTGTGTACAAATAACAAAAGAGAAACATTCACTGACACACATTATAGCCACTTGCATCTCAGGGCATCAAAGTTCTTTAATCATAATAAACATTATAAACAGTTTGTCAAAAATGGAATGATATGTTGAAGCCAATTTGAATTAAGAACGTTTGCGCTAGTGGTCTTCAGATCTACTATACAATTAAAATCTCTTTTATGTATTAATTTCTATGATTTAACACTTTTGAAAATGTATAATTTTCAGTTGTTTCCGATGTTATAAGCTTCTTTGTTTAACACGTCAGTGCTATGGTATTTTAGTGAATTTCATTAAAAAATAAAATTTTTTAGTGCTCACAATTGAAATTTACAAAAAATAAATGAACATTCTGCAGCCTAAGCTTTCGTTAATGAAATCATTTCAAAAACTTTACATATATTTAAAACGAGATACATCCAAAATGCTTTTGTCTGAAAGCCCAAAAAAAGTGAAATCGGAATAAATTAACTCAAAAAAAAACGAAACGGTGTTACCAATAAATTCTAATGCATCCGGACCATGATATTACGCAACAGTACACGAGACAAGATGCGCCTCGCGTTGCGCGCGCGCACCTTTACCCACCGGCCAGCAATTGATCTGCGTCACGCACACATCCGCACCCATACAATACACAAACTAGTGTGAATGAACCCCGAAAATCTTGCGTACACGCAACTACTCTTATTATCATAATATAATTTTGTTGGTACCAGTTTAATCGGCCGTTTTCGGGCTCGCTTTTCTTCGCGCGGCGGTAGTGGGGTGAGAGGCTTAAAATAGCCTGTCTTATTCACCGTCGCTACACTTTGTGCTAAGCTTTCTTAGGGGTAGTTGGACAGTAGACATGAGGCGTTACGTTGTTGCCCTATTTTTGCTTGCGGCGGCTCGGGCCATGCCTGCCGTCGACAAAGATGCAAACGATCCAGGCTTAGTAGGATCAGTGATTGGGGTCGTTAAGGAGTGCGTGGATGTTGACGTGTCCTTATGTTTAAAGGTGGGAGTGAAGTGTTGTGATGAAACGATGAACGATGAGGAAGTGTTCGCGGTTAATAGTGTTGTCTAAGAATATGTTTTGATTGCAGGAGAAAGCGTTGAAGTATGCGGAAAGCATCACCTCCTCGAGGGAGATGAATTTGGCTGATGGAGTCACACTGATCGGCACTGGCTCGCCGAGGTCTGCGAGGGCCTTGGAGCCGTTGTCAGAGGAACCTAAGGCTCGCGAGGCGCAGGTGGAATCGAGACTGGTGGACACAGCTGCAGACTTCTTGGAGAACCATGTCATCCAGTTCAGGCTGCCATCGTCTGCAGTTGAAGGCATGAAGAGGTCGCTCGAAGAAGGTAAATATACAACCTCTTTGTTTCTTAGGTTTTCACGCACTTCACTCATTAAATAAAACCAGTTTATTACGGGTTAATGTACGAAACTTTATTTATTTATTGACGTTTCGTAGAATCAAATTTTATTTAATTTTGTCGAGCTACCTTCGAAAGACTTTTATTGAGAGTTCGGTTATTTCATTGTTCGATTTTTAAAATTTTTCGGGGTTGGGATTTTATCTCCTGTATAATGGGTTCCCAAGCTGGTGGTATATACCAACCATCTTCCCTATTGAAATTTGGATATTTTTTGCGTTGCGTTGCTCAGTTGCAAGGATCTGTGGTTTATCAAATCTAATGTAATGGTTTGGTCCCCTTGTGTGAACATGCATTAGGTAAACTAATCAAAAAGTATTAATTACAAGGAACATGTTTTAAAAATAAATCTGCAATAGTAGTTTAAATAATAATAGTGAGATTTGAACTCGTAGCATAAAGATAATAAAGTAAAATACATAAAATAATAAGAACCCAAAATATATGATAGAGCTGAAATAATTGCAAAATTCGCTGTAGTCGTAAAAAACATTACAATATATGTTTAATAATGTTTAAATGGGTTGACACGCCATGCGCCATTGCGAAATACGTTTTATAAATATTAAAAATTCATAAAAAGAAGTAGAAAACAATCCAAACTTACAATATCTCTGTTAAAACAATAAGATTATTCATAAAAATATTCATATGTTGAATATTAAAAACAAAACAGATAAACACATTCTGAACATAGTTAAATTACATATTTTTGTTATTTTACTATCTCTGATGTAATCGCAAAGAACAAAATATGGTTTAAAGCCGAATTTGTTCATCGCAACGTGATATTGCCTAAACAAATAGAGCACATCAACGATCTGTGGTTAGAATATTATTCAGTCTTGTCATAATGTGAAATTGGTGACATGATTTCTATCTTCGATTTCTAGACAGTTTTAATATGATATTGAAAATCGCTTTTACTTTTATGAGACATTACGGACCTATTTAAATTTATTAACCTTTTTGCATATACAATAAACCGTTATATTTATATTATGAACTGTTAGATTTGCATGATTTGCAACAGTCGTGTCATTTACTATTTCTTCTTTATTTATTTAATATTCTTTATAATGTAGAATCACAAGTATACCAACTTACTCTTAAAATTATAGTCGCTAAAGTTTTGTCACACATTTCGATGCTACAAAACAAACATTATATCAATAAAGTAATGTTTACAATAGAACTTAAATAAGTTGACACATTAAATTGCTTTATTGAAACTTTGCAAGTGAGCGTTAAGTACTGTCTGAGTTTTCTCATTACGCTTACAAGCATTCTACTTATGAACTTGTTTCACGGTAAACTTGTTACAGCAGTTACAAATTAACTTAACCTGCTACTTAACTTTTCTAGAAATGCTCTCACTGCATTTCAAAATTACTTTCGAGTTGTAAGAGACCAGAATTCCTTTTTGATGCACATTTCCATTAATCAGAATTATCTATCACATTTGGATTAAAACCAATATTTTGTAGGTTATCTAACATGATTCTCGACAGTTTGATTAATTCTAATTTGTTTATGTTTGTGTTAAAATCAAAATTGTTTCATTATGCTAATGGTTTCATATTCTGCTACATAAAGAAGTGCAATTTTCCTATTTAATTATGTAATTTAAAAGCAATAAAATTATATCCCGGTATGTTCTCTATTGAACAGGAAACAAGATATTAAAGTTGTTTTATAATGTTTGAAGATTTAATGCCATAAAATCTGAATAGGCCATAAAGTTTGTTTAAATAATTTAATGTCTTGAATACATAAGTAAACGAAAAGAAAGTTTGAATGTTCAATAGAATTCCAATATGATTTAAGATTTTAAATGATAGAAATATTTTATGATAATTATTAATGAGTTTTAACATTTCTGGACCAAAGAAAGTTTGATTCTTCATTAAAACCGTATTGGGTTTAAGCGTAAATTACCTTCACAAACGTGAACGTTTACAACTTCCATTTCATCACAGAGCATTGTACGCATAGAAACATAATACTATAATTATTGGACAGCACTCGTTTCTAGGTCAGGAAAGTGGCACTTGCATTCCTGGTATGGCCATTAGACAAGTTTTGTAAGGTCCTTCTGTGTCGGGTTAAACTTTCCAGAAACCAGTTATACCATGTCCGAGCCAGTCGTGAAATCGATCCCTAACAAGACACTCCCGAGCATCTTCTTCGATGAAAGTTGAATTACCTTTCCAATCGAACTATTGAGAGCTCATTCCGATCGCCTTTTGGTTTTCCTCGAGGTGTCAATGTCCGTCAATATTTAGTAATAATGAATCATCGTTAATCGTTCAATTAAACAAAATGACTTGACTATATTAACAAGCAGAGTCTCGCGTTTTACAATATTTAAAATAACTTAACCTCATTTTAAAACTGTACATTTACCTTTTTGCATTCACAACATGTTCATGGATGAATTAATATTCTTGACACTCTCTTATCGTAGATATTATATGACGTAGGCTCGAGTTTCTTTTCAACATCAGTGATTTCTCAGTGGACTACTTATATTCGCATTAAACTTAACAAATCAAAACCTTATTTATGTAATAAGTTGGGAATCTTAACCATGTAATTAGTTAAAGTTGCAATGAATATTAAAGAAATTATCTTATTTAATACCAATAAATAACCGATTCAGGTAGATTCATTGGTTAGTGGATAAAAGGTTAGTGGATCAAACGGATTCTAATAACACAAGAATTTCTTGTTTAAAAACAGAAACTGTACAAACAAAAACTTCCGTACAATTAAAAAGCACGCAAGATAATTTATCGGTTACAGTGGAGCATAAGTAGGTTATTGTACTTACTTGATTGGAACTAATGATAGGCTACTACAATCAATTCTTAGAAAAAAAATCCTTAAAAAAATAAATTAAAGAACCGTATTGAATAGTAAACAAGTAATTGGTGTTTCTTTTAATGTACGTGCAATGACCTTGGCAATCGTTGTTTTCTTTACAATAAAAAAAAGTATTCTAGGTTATTAAAAGATGAATATTAAAAAAACACTATTATTATGTTAATATTTTTGGCCGGAGCGGCAAAAGAACAATACAATAAGAGCTGTCTACCCATTTTGGGTTTAACACGATGATGACATTCGCTGAGAGAGGGGCGAACTGATGCACGAACATTGTATATTTATTGGGTTCTGTTTCATTGTCACCAGTTAGATAAACAACCCTTAAAGTCATTCCGAATTTTACATTTCTATATATATTTGTTATAAGACTTAAGCCCGCGTCTTTTCTTTATAAATCTATTTATTTATTACCTTTGACATTATCTACAGACAAATCAGTGGACTGGTTCATTAATTTTTGGACTCTGATGTAATAGTATGTTAACCATATTGTTTCTTTTCTATTCCAGCCCGTGGCAAGAAGAAGAAGATCAAGCAGCTCCTTCCCCTTTTGGCCCTCGCTAAGCTGAAGGTTACCGCTCTCATTCCCCTGTTCTTGGGTATCATCGCATTCGCTGCAGCTAAGGCTGTACTCCTAGCCAAGATCTCCCTACTGGTCGCTGGAATCATCGCCCTAAAGAAACTCCTCGCAAGCAAACACCATGAAACCAGCTACGAGGTTGTCGCTCATCCTCACCACGAGGAACATTATGCCAGCAGCGGACACGGCTGGGGCAGGTCAATCGAAGATGCCCAAAACCTAGCCTACGCTGCCCACATCAAGTCTGATTAAAGCGTTTATTTTGACTGACTCCATAAGGGCTCTCCCGGGGTACAAATCTGGGCCCATTATAAATAATGTAAAATAGTCACTATGGCGAAGTATGGCAATGACATGTGTATATCGTGTTTATTTATTAGTAGAAGTAGGATTATTTATTATTAAATTAATATTTAATGAACAACGTCCCTTTGTAAGGAGCGAATGCCGAGCGAGCGTGTTGTTGTTGTTTTCATAAAATGTTGTTCTAAGTTTGTATGATCCTTCTATTTCGTTATACTATATTAGTATTTTTTCCACACCCTATACGGTATCCGTATTTGTGTATGTATTGTTTTTTATACAACTTTTATCCATCAAGAAGTAGAGTCCTACAACTTGATTTTATATTTGTACTTTCTAGTCCCAATATTCTAAGTCTTTTTTATATTTATTGAGAGCTTTAATATATTTCTCCTTATATTTATATCGATTTTTGTATTTTATATACATTTTGTGATATTTAACTTTATAATATTAAATATAAGTATTTTTTTTATATATATTTGTATGTATGCCTATATATAAAGCGAACTTATGATTTTATGTATCTACGTATTTTGCAAGTACAATATTATATTATGTAATTTTTAAGTGTGTAAGTATGTGTCACAATTTTTATTTTTTATTTTTCATACGATATTTTTATTGTTTTGTGTAATTATAATTATGATAACAAATCCAAATCGTACAAATAAAGAACTAAATTTGATAAGTTGTTTCTTTATACCGTAACAAATTAGGTGAATTTACAATTTTTTAAAAGTAGCAATGTAGATTTATCTGGGTTCAAATAATAATGTATATTTCCGATAGCTTATCAATATAGAAATTTTTAGTCAAAATACCAACATGAACATTCTTTAAATTCGTGTTAATCTAGGGGCACGAGGGGCACGGTAGTGCTCCTTTCAAGATGAAAAAACGAGCCAAGCAAAGAGCAAGCGCAAAGCGAAAACAAGTGAAGTGCGTATGGTGGCACGCGCAGTCTAGGGTTCCGTAGTTGCCTGTAGTTACCACAAGTCTTTATTTTCTATACCGGAAATTATAAAATCAATTAATATCAATCTATGTATCTCAAATTAAATACCTAAATCAAAGTCAAACTGCGTCACAGATTCAATTTCTTATAGTACGAATGATAATCGCATTTTATTTTTTATTTCCTCCCTGTTGGTGTGAAATCCTCATGGATATCCTACAGCCGGCTGCAAGGTTATGACACACTCTTACTGACTAAAAGATCAATCTGAAGCGATCATCCCCTGAGAAGGGGATGATGCTGTTTAACCGCCGATCTTTTCAAGTGGAACTAATGATATTTTTTTCGGTTTTTAAATAGTTTTTTTTTAGATGTTGTTGCAATGCAAGATTTTACGCTAAAATAAATTCATCTATGTCACTATAAATGTTTTCTTCTTCGGAATTTTTAATAGGTAAGAAATTTTCTTTAACCAAAGTTGAACGACTATTACTCTTAAAGTAACAAATCTATCTTAACCGTTGTAGGTTTCCTTAAAATTTCATGAAAAGCACTGTTATCGTAAAGTTTTCCAGGTTTTTCAAGCCAATAGTTTAGCTTTTAGACGGGAGGGGGGGGGGGGGGACGCTTTACTCGAACAAAAAATAGGACTTTAAAGTTTAAAATTTCGCAAACAGACCCCTTCAAGCGAAATATAGTCTTAAAAACCCATAAGTAATTTTAAAGGACCCAGTCAACAATATCCAACACGATGGGGTGATGATAAAAAAATCATCCTACCCTAAAAAATGTTGTTTTCAAAATTTTATTCTATCATTTTGTCGGCGTAATCGATATACATTTCACCACAAAATTACAGCTCTCAGTTCTAATAGTCTCCAAGCAAAACCGGGGACGGACAGACGGACATGACGTAACTAAAAGGGTTCCTCTTTAAGACTCCTGAACCCTAAAAACCTACCTTTTCGAAGCGCTTTGTCGTTCTTTTGAACCCTTATAACAGACGCTTGGATTATTATCTGGTATTCCAGATAAACAAAATTCTCGGGATACATTGTCAATAGCGGACTTATTACAAATATATAAAGTTTTAATAACATAGCTCTTCTAATTTTGATTTTATTAATATGTATCTAAGTCATTGACGATCATCAAAATAATTAGGGTATTTCCTAGTGTAAAGTTTTAGCTTTCCAGAAATTTGGTATGTAAGCTAATATTAGTAAACAAACAATAAAACATTGTAACTTGTAACCCCTTAAAATAGGGAATGGAATTTTGTATGAGACTTCCGCAATTTTGACGGTAGAGATCTGAAAATTGATGTAGAAACTCCTTGTTATTCCAAATAGTATTGAATAAACAAACACCCCAATAAATGAATACAAAAATAACATTATCACAAGCAACTTACAAAAAGAAATGAAATAAAACTAAACACATTTTTTATGTAAAATGTTGCCAAGGCGAGACCATAATGACGCGCACTGTCAAAAAGTTATCAGATCTCACGTAGAGCCCAGCTTCTAACTATACATAAACGTGTTTACTCTACAAAACCTAACTTCACAAACTCTGGATCTTTCTTGTAGAATCTCTTATCTATTAGACAAGTCCGTCCGTCCGTCCGTCTGTGGTGCTGTTTCAGCGGCCAAACCGTAAGAGATAGATAAAGAGAATATTTAAGTTATAAGTTAAGAATAGTCTGATAAGACTACAATCCGGATTTGAGTAACGTAGCACTTCCGGTTTTCGAGAAATCACTAATTTCAAACGAAACCACACAAAATATCCGAAGTTCTCAATTAATTAAATACATTTTTTTTTTATTTTTTTTTTAATCAGGTTTTGGTGAACATTAAATTTGGTTCACTGGTTTGCTCGTATTTTGTAATATTACTTGTTTGAGTGTACAAAATGCGTAGTTTTAGTTTTTGTCATAGGTTTTTTTACATCCTGTATAGTAGCATGAAAGCAGTTCGTATTTTTTTTTTATTTTCGCGTGACGTTTACACTTCTCGACGTTTGCAGGTTAAAATTTCGAGGCAATTTATATCACGAAATATACACTATTTTATTAGGTAATGAAAATTCGGCTTCAGAGATTTTATAAAGTATTTATCAAAATTATATCAACAATAATTTAAGTAGGGTGTCAATCGCCTAACGGGAGTGCTATGGCTATCGCTATCACTTACGATTTCATTTTGTTATTTCTGATCGCTTAAGGTTTTCAAATACCTTACGATCATTTTCTTTAATATTGTTAACCAATGCAACAGAAAATAATTGAGCGCTAGGCGTTTGTATACCTTCGGCGGTCAGAACTAACAAAAAGAAATCGTAAGCGATATTAATGCCGCTAGGCGATTGGCCAGCAGGATAGGTTCATATATTTAAACCCTTTTAGTATATAAGAGAGGAGCGCGATAGCGCAAGTGGTTAGCGCGTTCGGCTGCGATCGTTGAAGTTAAGCAACTTTCGCAGTGGTCGGTCATTGGATGGGTTACCAAAAATTTACTATCTCGAGCTCCTCCGTGCTTCGGAAGGCACGTTAAGCCTCCCGGCTACATCTGCAGTCGTTAGCACCCACCAATCCGCACTGGGCCCGCGTGGTGGGTCATGGCCCAATCTCCCTATTCCATCCATTCGGAAGGCCTGTGCCCCAGCAGTGGGACATTAACAGGCTGATGATGATGATGATGAATATTATAACAAAAAAAATCGATATCTCAAGTAGGTAAAGGTGGGATGAAATTACCATTAAACACCTATTTATTTTCTTATTTTCCAGTGTTATTATTCTAGCTATTAAATAAAATCTTCTTATTAAAATTTAATAACTAGAATAATAACAATAGAATAAATTGATATTAAAAATAAACTTTAATACTTTTTAAAATTATCCGGCGCTATGTAAACAAAAGTGGTGAACTCTTGAGTAAAATACTGAAGCTTGCTTTATCCACATGCCTTAGAGTTGTCGCTTCGGTCGATGGAAGTCCTGACCTTGACAAAGAAGTTTCACGGTTAACCGCGAGATGGCGGTTGCCTAAGGAATAACTTTTTTTTTGATAATTTTCATTGTTGCGCTTTTCTACTGCTAAAGCTTTATGGAATGCTCAAATAAAAAAAAGTAAGTTTGTCTCTCGTTTATTTAGAGCTAATGTTTCATTAGAAGTTTTCTTTAGTATTTTGATTAAATAAAAATGATTCCACTAACAAATTTTTCAATAAGTTTATATATTTTTTTTTAAACATTTTTTTTTTGTTAATTAATAAACATGTTCTGTAATGCTGAGGTAACAAATCAAGGATGGAAATAACGTTGCAATCCGAGCGTAAAAGATTCTGCACCCCATCTTTTTAAAAAAAGGTCCAAGTACGAATTTTCCATGATTCGTAATCGTATCGCTATCGTCAAATTTTCTATGGAAGAAACCAGTTTCTTACGTTCGGTAGGAGCGCTGTTTAGTTGCCATAGAAGTTCAGATGTTGCTGCACGTGTTCGGATCTGTCAAAATTTATGTTTATGGTTCACAGATAAATGAAATTCTGAATAAAAAAAAAACAATTTACAGCTAAAACAATTTGTGCGTTTTTATCAATAGTAGGTTTTTTAAAGTAAGCATAATCAAAATCATATATTCAGTTTAGGTTGTTACAAGTACTCATGAACGTCTAGAAGCTACGCCATCGGTTCGTAAATCTACGGCGGGAGACCTTGTACTGAGAAGAACCGGCAAGAAGCTCTACAGGGCTGTATTTTTCTCCCTGTTTTATTATTTACAGAGTCGTCAAGTTGAAAAATGACTCCAGAGATGATTCGTGAAGTCACGTTTCATTAGCTACTGATATTAAGAAGTTACTATAGCCTGCAAACGCTTACAATATCTCAGAGTATCACTCATTCCGTCCCATACCCCGTGGAACCTTTCACACTGATATACACGCAGATCAAAAAACATTTTGCGTTGTTTCACTATGGTCTCCTATAAAGTGAGTCTTCTTTAAAGTGGAGGTTACTGTGGTAGATGGGTATAAAAAAATTACCTATTATTATAGGTAATTTTTTTATACCCAAAAGTAAGCACTGTGATTATGTTATGGGATAATTAGGATAATGGACAGAATGCATGAACTGTTACATATATATTATATTAGTGGCCCGCCATCGCTTCGCTTCGGGGTAGAATTGATCAAAGCCTTTCTTAGCGGACGCCTACGTCATAACATCTACCTGCATGCCTAATTTCAGCCCGATCCGTCCAGTGGTTTGGGCTGTGCGTTGATAGATCACTATGTCAGTCAGTCACCTTTGAGTTTTATATATATAGATAGACTAGCTTACCCGGCGTACCGCTTACAATTATTTATAATATATGAAAGCTATCCGTCCGACAGAACACAGCTTTAACAATAGTTAGCAATTGTTTGGAGGAATCTTCTATAGATAGATCTGACGTGATCGTTCAGCAATGTAACTCTCATATTTACTGCCATCTGTAAATTCATTACATAGCGCTACAAATTGATTAATAAAGGCAAGCTCTTATCTCATTGGCAGTAGTCGATTTCGAATAACTGTCACTGTTTGGCGGTAATCTTTAGACAGAAAATCATGCCGCCCCCGAAGCACCTTAAGCCATCTATCAAAAAAATGTTTCTAACAATATGGCCGTTCATCCAGAAGAAGCAACTGCTACCCCAATGTCAGATTTCTTATGAAAAGTGTCCAAATTCAGTGATATTTGAAATGTCTTTAGAGATATACCGATTAGATTTCATCTTAGGATTTTAAGCCGCGCGGCAAATAAAAGATTTCGCTCACCCACACCGTAACGACGATCATTTATGTTATTACGTCTTGTTACTGCCAATATGCATAAGTCGGTGAGAGAATGGTCAATCGACCACCATTAGTTGCATCTCCTTCGGTGTTAACTGCATCAAGTAATTTATACTCTTCGATTGAAGTTTGGATTGGTTCGACTGAATGAAAGTAAGGTGTGCCGTTTCCATTTTGACGCAAGCGACATAACGAAATCAAATAGGTAGATAATGTAGTTTTGAAGAATTATCAAATTATTATTGAGGAGATCGATGGCGCCAGTGGTTAGCGCGTTCGGCTGCGGTAGTTGAAGTTGAGCAACTTTCGCAGTGGACTGTCATTGTATGGGTGACCAAAATTTACTGTCTCTAGCTCCTCCGTGCTTCGGAAGGCGGTTAAGCCGGCGGTCCCGGCTGCATCTGCAGTCGTTAGCACCCACCAACCCGCACTGGGCCCGCGTGGTGCGTCATGGCCCAATCTCCCTAATCCATCCATAGGGAAGGCCTGTGCCCCAGCAGTGGGAACATTAATAGGCTGATGATGATGATGATTATGTTAGAAGGAAAATTCACGTCGATATTCCCCGAGGGAGTGGACGGTACCGTGTGATCACTAAATCGGTGAAGTTTACTTTAGCATATTTCAAAGAGGTTAAGATTGGCTTCCAGGTCTTTGACCAATATTCTCCAAACACAGTCAGTCTCTTAGTTAACCCTTACGACTTACCGGGAAATAAAGAGTAGTTATTTTTTTGGCAACTATAAACAAATGCA